TATTTATCCTTATAAGGAAGAACAGAATTAATAGAGAGAGTTTCAGTCTATGTGCTGAGGACCCAAGCCAGAGCTCCCGGTCTGTAGCTCTCAAATTCTCGAAAAAACAAAAGCCCACAAACTAAATAAGCAATCGCCACATATGGCTCAGCACTGCCAAGAACTGAACCCTTCAGAGAAACTGCCAGCCTCTCCCTTTCAGGGAAAGCAAACGGGTGCAGAGGGTTCTCAGCCTCACAGCCACAGGTTTGGACCCCCAAGTAAACAGCCAACGTAAAGTCAACTGTTCACCTTTTTCCTTCATGTTCTCAAATACTGAACTATATACGTGCCTGCACCAATGGTTTAAATACATCACTGTTATAATAAAAATAATCCAACAGTTAATATAGGGTTTTGCCCCCGAGTTACATTAGTTTTGGATTTACGCCATCTACTACATTAATGGTATTTCAGAGCAGGGCTGCCAAACCAGCACTAAGATTTCAGTCCTGACTAATTCTAACCTCTGCATACACGTACACCAGATGTCTGTAGATAATGTTGCATGCAATAAAACATTAGCAAGTCATCACCCTGTTTTATTTGATAGGTGAAAAAAAACATGTAGCGATGCTTCCTGTGATCTAGACCGGAGAGATAAGCATACATTTGTATTTTCAAATAGCTTAACTACATCTTCCCCAATACTTTCCCTGAAGTCTGTTTCAGAACCCAACTCAAACACAGCTCTGCTTTTAAGAAGCTCTCTCTGTAGCTCTTAACACTGCTTTTTGCTACAAAAAGCTGGTTTCCTTGAGCACCACCTTCCTTAGCCCTCTCTCAGCTACTCTGTTTCCCACCTCTGCACTGGGCCCACATTGCATATCCAGAAGAATCATTTCAGCTTTAAAAAGAGACAGATTAGGGAATAGATCCAGCTGAAAACAAATAAGCCAGCCAAAAACTGAAGGTGGCTTAGGGCCAGGGACAAAAGGCTTTAGGCAGCACACCACCTATCAAATGTAGAACCAGGCACTACTGAAGTCCATCACCTGGTCTGGAACAACTTGCCTGTATTTCTGCAGAGCATCAACAGCTCTTCAGCTCTAAAAAAACCCTCCATTATCTGATAAAAAATTAGCATTTCTCCCTTACTGTCAAGTATAAGGATGGATATTTCAAGTATTCCATAGAGAACTGGGTAGGGGGAAGGGTCCACGAAATAGTTGTGTTGTATAAATCTTCTGTTATTCTGAAAAGCCTAATTAACTCAATGCCTATGACTCTTCATCCTTTGACATGCTGTTTCTACCACTTTGAAGTCACTTTTACACAGCCTTTAACAAGAAAAAAAAATCCAACTCTATCCCACAAAGATGGAACATATTAATAAATTAAAAAGCTTCAGACACATAAAAGTATCTTTGATCAACGTTATGTTAGCATTTAGTGAGTGAAGAGTTAAACCTCCAGAAAGCTAGTATTAAGTAAATGCCAAGAAATTTTTTAAACACAATTCAGAAGTTCAATTAAAAAAAATCCCAATGCATTTAATTAGTCATACCTGGAATATTACAAATCTGATTTTATTTCTATTTCCTTTTAGTTATATGTATTTAAAAAAAAAGAGAGGAAGTATCCTTAGGAAGGTTCAGAAGTGTTATTAATTTCAGTTTTATACTAAGTTATAAAAGATGCACAGCTTCCTTTTGACCAGATTTACAATGGCAAATTAAGTACAAAGATCAATTTTTATATTCCCATCCTCAATAAGAACATGAACACTTGCTCACACTAAATAGAATTATAGCAAAAAAAAGTGTTTTGATTCATCCCTGTCTCCCACTCCCATACATTCATCATTATCTCCTGGATTTTCTTCTCTCGGGTCCACACCTACAGACTAGCAGGGATGCAAGTGCTAGGAACATCCAAACAATCTTAGCAATTATCTGTACTGCTAAAGCTGAGCTGGAGATCATGAAGAGGGAGGCCAAATAAATAGCTCTTACCAATGCCAGGATGACAATCGACTTTTGAATATTTTATCCTCAAGAAAACAGAGGTGCTACAGTATGGCCTGTCAAAGTCTGCACCCTCCTCACCACAAAAGGAAACAATCCACTGGCTCATGCACACAGTCGCAGAGTTTGGTACTGCTCATCCTAAACAGTTCAGCTGGAATTTGGTAGGAAACCCAATTCACAGTAAGAAAGTCTCATGACAGGGAACTGGTGTTTATCATTAAATGTAACTGCTAAAAGACGACTAACTTCAGCATATGTTAGGCTGCTTGGAAAGATCAATCATTTTCTAGAATGCCTCACAAGTTTGAAATACTGGTCCACTTAAGTAACGACAAGTTTCTTGCAAAGCTATCCTAACGCTGTATGAAAAAAGGTTCAGAAGACCTCAATTTCATCTTTGACATTGCTAAAGCAAGTACTAGGAGATACTGACAGAAGGGTAGTTTGGGGTGGAAGGAGAAGCTGCAGAATAAACAAAGCAGTGTAGTTTCAGTAGCAGCTAAGAATTAGTGAGTGAGAAAACTGCATCAGAGGATGGTGTACTCAGAGAAGAAACATCACTGTCAGTCTCACAGGGAACAGGAGAAGTCATTCTCACATAGGGTTAGGGTAGAGTTCAGCTATGAATATTATGGAGTCACCGGGAAGCCATTTAGGTATCAGTGCCCTAGATGTTGCCTTCCCAACACTGACCATGGATAAAGTATACAATGTCTTCAGAACAAGGCTTTATTTATGCAAATAAGCAATTTCAAACCCAAAAGAGAATGAAGTTCTATTTTGTTTCAAATTCTTTGAAAAGATCATTAAAAAAACCTAAAAACAACCCTCCATGGAGCAATACGACTCAAAAAGAAGATGCATTTTGTCACAATGAGGTTTTACTGGTCCAATAACAAAAAGAAGTCGACATGTTTCCTTCAGACATTAAGCACGTACCTGCGCGGTGATCTTCTATTCCGTGGTCACCATTTTCTACTACCGTTGGCCCAGAAGCTGAAGTATCTGCAAAAAATCAAAGGAAACGTTAGCATTGGATGAAGTTAATCTTCATCCAAAACTTAAAAACAACATTGTAAGGACAACACTGTAATGTTATCAGACACAGATAAGGGCTTTTCTTCCCCAGAATTATTTTTGAAGTAAGTTAAGGTACCCACGCAACACTGAGTCAGTGCAACTTAAAACCCAAAAGAAAGAGCTTTTCAATCACAGAAAATCTAGTTCCGTGAAGGAGACTCAAGGCATAACAACTAGAAGCTTCTTTTATCTATTCATACCATCACTTCCAACTAAGCTTTCCTAAGGGCCAGCACTAGACCACTGTGATTCTGGATTTCCTTCAAGTAAATAATGCTTAGCCAAGCTGATAAACTTCGACAGGCCTGGTGAATGAGGCAAGAGCAGTTGATGCTGTTGACCTTGACTTTAATAAGGCTTTTAACACCATCTCCCGTAACATCCTCCTAGACAAACTGACAAAGCATGGGTGAAGATAACTGCACAGTGAGGTGGGCGGAAAACTGGCTGAACAGCCAGGCTCAGTGGGTGGTGATCGCTAGCACAAAGTCCAACTGGAGGCCGGTCACTAGCGGTGTCCCCCAGCAGTTGACAATGGGTCCAATACTGTTTAACATCTTCATTAATGACCCAAATGATGGGGAAGAGCACACCTTCAGCAAGTTTGCAGATGATACAAAACTGGGAGAAGTGGCTGATACACCAGAGGCTCATGATGCCATCCAGAGGGACCTGGGCAGGCCAGAGAGATGAGCAGAGAAGAATCTCATGAAGTTCACCAAGGTGAAATGCAAAGTCCTGCACCAAAGGAGGAAAAAGCCCAGGCACCAGTATACACTGGGGGACAACTGGCTGGAAGGCGGTCCTGCAGGAAAAGCCCTTGAGGTCCTGCAGGAAAAACCCTTGGGGTCCTGATGGCCAACAAGTTGAACATGAACCAGCAGTGTGCCCTTGCAGCAAAGATGATCAACAGCATCCTGGGCTGCATTAGGCAGAGCACTGCCAGCAGGTTGAGGGGGGGCGATCCCCTCCCTCGGCCTTCAGCACTCTTGAAAAACCAGCACTCTTGAGACACATCTGGAGTGCTGGGTCCTGTGTTGGGCTCCCCAGTATGAGAGAGGTGGAGGTACTGAAGAGAGGCCAGCGAAGGGCCACTAAGATGATTAAGGGACTGGAGCATCTCTCATATGAGGAAATGCTGAGAAAGCTGAGACAGCTCACCACAGAGAAGAGAAGGCTTGCGGGGGGGGGCTGTGTGTGTGTACAAGCACCCGAAGGGATGCTATAAAGAAGCCTGAGACACAGTCTTTTCAGTGGAGTCCAGTGACAGAACAAGAGCCAACAGGCACAAACTAATCCCCCAGAATTTTTAAATATTGGTCCACTTCAGTCATGACAAGTTTTTCGCAGACAAAGTATAAAAACAAAGATCAGAATACCTCAATTTCAGCTTTGACAGCACATTGCTAAAGCAGGTACCAGGGAGAGATTTAGAGAAGGGTAGTTCAGGGTATAAGACCACCGATTCCAAAAAATAGCATATAAGATACTTAACACCAAGAGATTTAGTCTATCTTGTTCTGACATTGTCTGACAAAATTTTAACAGGTACCAGGATTTACACACTAAACTTGGAAAACACGGCAGAAATACAAGACCTAGTGATAGCTGAGGCTATTTGGAATCGAAGAACTGAGCTCTAAACTTGGCTTTGCCATCTACTCAGTGGGCCACCTTAGGAAAGCCAATCTGTTAACAGGTAGCTATCTCCAAGCGTGTAATGTTTTTGAAAATGCTACTTGGAAACCATCTTTGGGAATAATTAAGGAATTTAATTAACATAACAATATAATTTTTTTAAAAAGCACACTTCTTGTTCCAGTACTCAAACAGTTCTTCCTAATCATCAAAACATGCCAGTGAAATTCTATATTCACCCCATAATCTCTACACTGGGCTGCTGAGGGTCAGTAACTACAATTGCTTGGACAAACTGCGTGAGGAATTTTATTTCTTTTGAATTACTGCCTTTGAGATCAGACTATGGTCCTTACAAAAGTAACTGGATTGTGCTGGTATTAATACTCGTGCAGGAAGCCAGCAGCACATATTTCTGTAGGTGACCGCCACCATGACAGGTGAATATTACAAGGCCATTTACCTAAATTGAAGATATCATCCTTGCACCAAGTCTTAAAATGTTTTCTAGTATCTTCTTAAATAAACTCTGCTTAATTTCTAAGAATTTATCCCATTTTCCAGTTGTGAAATATTGAAGACAAGTCATTGCAAGAACGATACTGAGTAGTATTAGTTAAGCGTTAACAAGCAGCACAAGCTCTAACAGCAGTTCAGCTCCTCAGGCCATCAGTTCTGCTTATTGCGAAGAAACACTCAGGGCAATGGCTTAAACAAATTCTGTAAGTAAATAAAATAAAATCACTCCCAAAGAGACACACATTCAGTTACCTGGAGTTGCTGCTGTCCCTTCCCTGAGCTCAAGCAGTTTTAAAACAAAGCTATGTTACCAGTGTACTTTAGACACAGCACTTTAGGGCTTAATCCAACCCTCAGTAAAGCAAAAGGAAAGATTTTCCAGTTACTTCAGTGGCTCATCCTGGTGTTTTATGAAAATTCAACATGAACTTGCCAGACAGCTTACAGAAAAACATACACCTACATGCTCTTCAAATAGTTGAAAATACTACAGGAATCCCTGGACCTGTTTCTTAGCAGTTAAACACACCAGCTCCTCCTGCTGTCAGTCTTTACAAGGTCTGGTATTTACTGTAACAGTAGAACTGTCTTAACTAGTAACTGGGAGAACTACTGCCAGTGACTGAATTTACTGATCAGTTCAGGCAAGGAGAAACCAGGGTAATGGGATGGTTTATACAACGCTGCTTCACAGTTGCCAAAAGGTATGCTGGGTATCTCATGGAGTAACATGGCCTTACAACAAGATCT